GTGTAGAAGCGTCAACCAAAACCATAAAATATCTAAATGGTCCGCAAGGAGGTTGAATCGATCCACAAATGTCCCCCTGAATCCGTTGTAGAAAAATGGGAGGATTCGAACGAATCTTGTCATAAGAAGGCTTAGTAATAAGCTTTCCCATAGAACATGTTTGACATGCAATTTCATGGATCGAACCTAAGCTTCGGGTTAGTGGATGCCCGTGTGAAGTTTTGAGGATACGGCGCATCGCTATTCGTCTAGGATGTCCCAAACGATCATGCCAAAGTGTAATTTCGTGCGCGGTCCCTATGGTAGGGCCGGCCACATAGTGGCATTCTATGGGGTGTATGGTCGTAGTATACAGACCACTCGGGTTACACTCCATCTTCTCTAGAATACGCTTCTCGCCATATTCGTAGGAAGTTACGCACATAAATTCAACTCCGTTTTCTACGTGGGTTTCAGCGTGGTAATGGTTATCTTTAATGTCCTTGAAACTTAGTAACGTTCTTTCGGAACGTGGAGAGTAGAGTGCCTCAGCAATGGTTAAGATTGTACCATTGGACAACATTATACGTGCCTTACCGTATCCTTCGATCAGGTTGGATGGGCCTGAGAGGGTTGTCAGAGGTGCATTCTTAGGTACGAAGTTAGTGAAATAGATGCGTTCACGCAAAACAGTATGCGTGGTTGCACTATCTGCCAGACAACTAACTTTCCCACTAGTCATACCTAGAATGAAAAATTAATTTGAATCGGTCACATGCATAAAAGTTTATAAAAACAAGTATCAATTCAAATAATTTCATTTATTCAAAAAAACTTAATACCCAAAATAAATCAATCCATTCACATAGGAATAGAACATACAGATTCTAATAGACATGTATTGGTTTAATTTCGCATGAAAAACTTCGGGTTTCATGGGTGATATGTTTAAGTGAAAACTTCAGGTTTTCAAACAAGGCATGTTTATAAGAAACTTCGGGTTTCAAAGTAATTATGAACTTCAGGTTCATATATTCCTGCAGGCAAACACAAATATATATGCAAACAAATATGCAACAAATATTGTATGCAAAAATATTGTATAATGATAATTGAATTAATTTATGTAGTCTTCGGGGCCTAAAAACATAGGCAAAGCCCACAGGTGGCTCATGGAGCTCACGGGGAGACATGGATAAGGGGAATGGGCTGCTGTGTGCAGCACCAAAAAAAAAAATTTCTTGTCGGGCTGGGCCGCTGCAAGCGAGCCCAGAAAAAAAAAATTGTTTTTTTTTCTTTCGGCATGGGCTGGGCCGTGACATCGCAGAGCAGCAGCAAGCCCAAAAGGGCGCTGATGTAGGCTGAGGGACAGGAGCCCACTGGGGCTCAGGTTTTTGGGATCAAACACCCCAGCGAGTGCTGGGTGTGTGTCGCTGGAGGAGAACACCGGACCTGGCACTTCTGGCGTTAGTCGGGGTTTTGTGGAAGACTCGATTTGAGTCATGGTGACCATGGGGGTGAACGGAGATTTAAAAAATCTCTATATTCATTGTCAAAACCCTAGAAATTCGATTGTAATTTAAAAAAAAATCGAATTTGCAGACAAAAAATTCGTCAGGGACGACTGCAGGTCGTCGGGGGTAACTGGGCATGGCTGCAGGCCATGTTGGTTGACGATTTCAAGGGTGGCGACACCTGCTAGGCGTCGTGTCTGGGTGTTGGGCCTGGAGCCGTGTCTCCAGGATTGGTTCTCGGCTCGGGAAAAACACGGGTTCGAAGAACCCTAATTCCCCAATCGCAAAATTTTTTTTTAATGCAATTATATTATATGCATGTATAATTCTAATGAATCACATATTTACGTTGATGCATATGCAAATAATAGTTTCAATGCATGTACATATGTAAGATTCAGTTCACAAATATCAAATTCACATAATTGTAGCAATTTTGGTGATGAAGCATACACAATTTATGTAGAATCTAAAATACGTTAAACGTAAAGTTGAGTCATGCATCATGGTGAATGTTCATGCTATCAGGGCTTGCAAAATATCGAGTTAAAAGCCGTTGTTTGGAAAGAACCTGATTGCGTGATGATATGGATGAACTGGTTTGATGCAGAAAAAAAATCTCCAACGTCAGATTCCTAAGCCCAGCGGTAGGAGCGTGCTGATAACGTGTTGTAGTCTATTTTTATCTGACAGAGAGACTAGGGCCGGCGGCAGAGAGAGAGAGGAGAGAGATGTGTGTTTGTAGAATTGTAGGGGAACGTATGTGTTGTTATCCCTCCTAAATTGTGCCTTTATTTATAGTAGTAAAGGGAGATAAGATATTCCTTCTCCTCCAAGTAATACAAGTTGTAATAGGAAAGGATAACTAGAATCAAATATAATTTAGGATTTACACAATCACACTTATTCTAGGAATGTTTACAACAAAAGTAAATTTTTTTTTTAAATAGCATAAAAGTGTCAAATTGGACAATAAATGACAATATTTTTAAACAAAAGTTTTGCTGTGGAGATGCTCCCTTTGACCCCGGTCAAATAAGCATCTATACACAGTCACCTAGCTACAAAGTTCCATGCTTTGCCTTTACGCACAAAACAGTTGATACAAACTTGTCTGCCATTCTCATCCTATACCTTCTTCGTATCTTTTTATATTATGTGATTATGGTTAAATCGTGTCAACATTTTATATTTGTATTACTTTTTATCTTATTATTTTTATAAAAAAATTAATATAAAATATTAACGTGATTTAACCGTGATCACAAAATATAAAAGAACATGAGAAGGACATGTGATGGGAGGATAAACAGTCCAAGTCCAATCCAAACAAGAATTAATAATAGGGTTTGGAAGCTTGATATTTCGTTGAGATGTATTGTTTATTGATAATTCTACAAGATCTCTGATTGCATTATAATATTATTATCCACAGGGCCAGGCGGCCAGGTGCACCCCTATATAAATGTAGTTCGAGTTACTCATCAATTCACGGCAAGCCTTTTAGTTTCCTTGTAGTGTGTGGAACACAACACAGAAGAAAATTTCAAGATCACTATATATATCTATATAGTATCATGGGTAGGTACGACTGTTATAAGAAGCCAGCCAGAGTTCCACGGACTAGGGAGCAGGTGGTGGATCTCTTCAATAGTTTTGACAAGGACGGCGATGGCATGCTGTCAAAAGAGGAGCTGAAGGCAGCGTTCAGGGAGCTCGGGTCGCGTTGGGGCGGTTTCAGGGCGAGGAGAGCTTTGAGTCATGCAGATGCCAACAGTGACGGGCTCATTTCTAAAGAGGAGATCAAAGACCTTGTCAACTATGCCCTAGAATGTGGGTATACGCTAAATTAATTATAGTACGTACTGGGTTATTAGTAGTTGCAGGCTTGTAGCGAAGGAAGGAGGCGATCTTGTGTTGCCCCTCTTATGTATGTAATGCTTATGTAATATAAAAAAATTAAACAAGAAACCTTTTCTTTGAGAGACTTGTACGCCTAAGAAGAACAATAGCAGCACCTGAGCCATATTACTGGGGACCAGCAGCACCGTCACAAGGAACGGCGCCATAAACGCTCAACATCGTTGCCGACTGAGAAGTCGGAATACCACTAGCTAATCCACCATAATTTTTAGTCCACATAACCCTAGCTCGACTTGATTACTAACTCGAATTCTAGTGCAATGTCTTTTTTATATAAATAAATACTCACTGCACCCATAATTCAATCCATTTCTTAAGAAAAGAAAAACAAAAAGCACTTCATACGCCATGTTTATTTACACCAATTATGTTAAAAAAATTCAATTTCTTTAAAAGTTTCATTTCGATAATGAAAATTAAAATAATAATAATAATAATGCTTGTGTCCCTCTATTGGGGAACTCACTTGTATTCCCACTTACAATTAACGAATATTTCTTATCCGAATATTATAATTATTACCATCATCTAAAGATCATTTCTTAAAAAATTATTTACTTTGGAGATCTTTTAGTTATTCATATGCATAAACAAATTGACGGTTCATCATGAGGATGATATGTGCTTCAAAACCGTTGATTAGTTTAACATGTAAGGAGGACTAATGGATCTCCAAATTGAATATTTTTTTGTTGATATGATCTTTAGATAATGATAAAAAGAATGAATAGTTCATATTAATGATGTTCAGATGATAAAAGTTTATTAATCATAAGTAGGGAGACAAGTAAGTTCTCTCCATAGAGAGACAAAGGCATTATCCTCAAAAAAAACTTTTGATCCATGTGAATAAATTCTTTCCTGTTTTGGTACACACAATCATAATACATGGCTCCATTATCATATTATCATATCCGAAAAAAGAAAAAGTAGTTGGTGTATCTAGTATAACCGCATGCGAACTCTTTTTTCCTTCTCGGTCAAAATAACCTTTTTCTCCCAATGAACGGATTATTACCAATTGCCTTTTTTCTTCTCAGTGAAAATAACATTTTTCTCCCAATTACCTACAAAAAAAAAACAAAAACAATCATGAGCTCACATTGCATAGTGAGAGAAATTTAGGAAATTTTATGTAAACCCATGTAACCTTTTTTTACTCTCAACTTAAATTTTAGATGTTAATTATTTTTTTTACCCTATTGCATAATTATCATCAAGTACCAGATGAAATTAATAATAAAACTAAAATTTATCAATAAACTCACACACTATAATTAAACTCCACCATCACTCCTTGTTATCTTATGTTCATTTAGGCTAAAACCTATCACTTTTATAGTGAAAAACAAGTTTTTTTCGGTCCGAGGAAAATGCTTCTATCGTCTATGCAACATTAGCTGTTGATAAGGAGTTGCAACCAGACAAGGTGAAAGAAAAATGTTAGTTTCCAACTGCGAACTTTCAGTGCACTTTGAGGCTGCTGAGGTGAGATTTCTTCAAGCATCGTATAACACATAATTGAAAAAGTTGGTGTTTGTGGAACTTTTCAAAGCAAAAAAAAAACAAAGGGTACTCTCTTCTTCATTCGGCATGAATAGTCCCTGTACCCAAGTCCATTCCGAGATAAAGCTGCTCCACCCCTCCCCCTACCAACTGAAACACCCACTTGAGCTTCATCATTATTGCTTCCAACAACCATTGGTATTGTTAAAGTACCAATCAATGACCCAAATGCAACTAATTCCTTCATCCAATTAATCTCTAAATGCAACTAATTAGTAATCCTACTAATCCTTCCCTCCAAAAAAAGTTAAAGATACTAACTTGAGCGAGGAATGCTTCGGCCTCTTCGTGCCGAAAGCAAAGCAATCCAATGGACTTGGCCTCATTAGGATCAGAGATGAGCACGAACTCATTGTTCGAATTGCTAACCGTATATACGGCCGTCCCGGCCAGGCTCTTCGCCACGTGGTCAGAGCTGAGGGTAGCGGCCAGAGCGTGATTGCTCTGAGCTAGCCACGCGAAGGGAGGAGAAACCGGCGCCGAACGCATGCGCCTGGTCGCCGCCGGCGCGAAGTTGCCTGCTATGGTTCCGACTAGCCGCTTGGTGTCTTCGAGGCGGGTGGAGAGCTCGGCGCCGAGGCGGAGGCAGTGCTGGTGTATGAAGGTGGAGAGCGATAGCAGAGGGTTTGAGCGCGGGTAGGGCTTTGGGGACTCCATCTGTTTGGGTTAAAACTGAACTTTAGGCCCAAGGGTGGAGTCGGCCCAACAGAAGGTCCGGATGAAACTTAGGGAGCAGGAAAAGGGCCACTTGCCTACCTGCCCAAGGACCAAGTGGTGTAGACTGATCAGACTGCACAGCCCAAAAAGTACTTTATAGTGGCATTACATGTAATAAAACTGATGAGTCATCACCCTCAGACCACATTCGGGCAAAGCCGTTGCTATAGGGAGCCAAACCGAGTCGTCTATAAAATGAGGAAGAGAAGACAGGAACAAGGACACTCAAACAAACAAACAAATGCAAGCCAAAACTCTGCTCAAAGCCAGATTTGCCTTCCAAACGAAGCTGTAGTCAGCCAAGCCTTCATCCCATTTGGGACCAGCCTTTATCCCCCGCGGGATACTCTTTTCTTCTAACCTTTGTAATAGCTCTGCTACCTTGTTCAAACTTGTTGTAGTATCGATTCACTTTTGTATTCTCTCTTTCTCTCTCTAAGCTTTCAAACCTTTGACAAAACTGCAAAGATAGGGATCTGCAAGAAGATCAGCCTTAACTGATAAGGTTTAATCTTGCCCGACCTTCTTTGCTCTGTCTTTGTCTTTTCTTTCTTTAAAGCCTAGTAATATGTTGTATACTTCCAGTTATATACAAGTTGCTTCTAGCGAAATCATGATGAAAAGGCTTCCCCAGTACTTAGATCCGATTTGAATACATCTTCAGTGTTCAAATCAGATCCAAGTCCTAAGCCTGCGGGCATGTAAATCTGATCAGTTTAAAAGTCATTGGCCTCAAGGCATAAAAAAGAATTTTATGTGGACTTAACCCATCCACGACAATCCTTGATAAACGAGAAGTCCGAAGTTACTTGGGGCGCAAGTAATCGACCTACCTCTTAGTTTTGTTTCTATTATGTCATGATTATCATAGAACGCTTAAGTATGGATGGATTCTGATAGGAAGCCTCAAGGCCTACACCTAAGACCCCATAAAGGCACCTATTTGGATTCATTCTACTTCACGGTCTAAACTGTCCGAGCACATGAACAAACTCTAATGGGAAGCCTCAAGGCCTACACCTAAGGCCCCACAAAGGCATCCATTTGGGTTCGTTCTACTTCTTGGACTCGGATAATCAGAAATATAATAGTGACAAGACTTTCATAACCATGAAAACCAAATATGATATGTCCAAGTACTGGTTTAGTTTGACATGAAGCCTCAAGGCCTACACCTAAGGCCCCACAAAGGCACCTGTTATATCTAACACGGTTTCTCGGGCATATGCGTATTCACAACTAAAACTTGACATATATTCGACATCTGCCATACTGAAGATGGCAGTGGCACGCCTGAGCACCTACAAAGTTAATCTTGATTGTGAGCCTCAAGGCCTATACCTAAGGCCCCACAAAGGCACCTTTCAAATTAACTCTGTCCTTCTCTTTCAGCACTGCCCGACGAGTCTTGCCCGAAGAGTCTTGCCCGAGCAAGACCTGACCGACGAGACTTGCCCGACTAAGCCCGATAAGAAAGCAGAAGCCCGACAGCAGCCCTCAACCGGCGCCAACCTCCCAGGGGAGCTTTGTGCTCGTTTGCCAGGAAGTGATCCCCGACGGGTATTCCTGCGACGAACACCATCGTTTCAGTGCGGGTGACGACTGACGAGTAGCGCATAATGGTTGTTTCGATAAAATCAAATTTCAAAAAACAATTTGTTTAAAAAAATAAAAACCTTGTTGGGCTAAATATTGCAACCCAGTTTGAATTGTAATTAGTTGCCCAATACAATCCAGCCCATACAGTTCTGTGGGCCACTCCATAGTTGTAGGTTTTTTTTTGGTTAAAATCTATATTTTTATTTAAAGTAGAAAGAATATTTGTTAGTTCCAAAGTTATAGCTTAACTTCTTGTATTACGCACCTGCGGAGCCAGGTATAAAGTTTTGGTGGGCTATATAGCATAGGGAGATTTTTAGTTATTTAAGCTGAAAAATACTAATTATTTGGCTTGTTTAATGATTTTTAATTGTTCGTAGGTCACTTAGCAAATGAAAAGTCTGAATCATATAGTTGTTTTTAGGAAAGAAATAAGGGTTAATAAATATTATATAAACTCATCCCTTTAACCAATATTAAAATTTATTAATAATAAATAAAACTTCTATACCACATAGGGTCCCGTATTTTATTCATTTAAAAGTTTGAAGGCTCGAAGCCTAAAAAAGAGATTATAAATTTCTTACTTTAATTTATTACTTTCAGATTTATTATTATATAACTTTATGTAAGCAAAAAAATAAAAATTGACCATTTAATTTTGTAGTAATAGTTTTACCTTAACTCACCCACCGAATAATTCATGGCTCCATCATTGGTATTATGCTTTACGTGACTTCTAATAACCATAATAGTCTAGTAAACTTTTGTTTTGTGAAAGCTTGGAACCGTATCTATAATATATTTGTAGATTGATTAATATTCAAGTTGTCGGCGTTGGGTCACTCTCGCTTTCAGTTCAATTAGGTATAATAAGGAACGAGATTCCGATGAAGTATGCTTTTGTTACTGAAGTGTCATTAATTAGGTCTAATCCATGCTTATTTTACCGAATGAGATTCTGATCAAGTACGCATTTTTTGACCTACTGGGCTACCATCGATTTTTATTCACAGTTTTTGTAGAATCGTTACTTGTTCATTAAGGATGAGAGTCTGAGATATGTATAGATTGAGACTAAGGTCTAAAATATCGATGATATCAGAAATATCGGTAGTCCAAAAACACGGAAATTTCGATAGAAATATTGGGATATTATCGATATCGATAAAAATTAAATAAAAACCACGGAAATTGTAAGAAAAACTTGAAATTTTTTATTGAAATGATGTTTATTTAGTCAATTATCTATTAGTTTATCACAAAAAATTGGAAGGAAATGCATTGCATGATAGATTTAACTGATTTAAGTTGATTATATAGCGAGCTGACAAACATTGTGAGTGTAGAAAATATGTAGTAATTAATGAAAGAAGTTTAAACACACCATAATCATTTATATATAATGAAGTAGTACAATATTTTACACTTTATAGAAATTTATCCTAGACAATAAATATTAGCTTGCAAGCCTTGCAGGCATCTTAACGACCATATAAATATTACAGGTTGAATATATAATCATAAACACGTCTGTAGCGAGTTGGATAAGGCCTAGTTGCATGGTTGACAAAGGGAGGGGTTTGAATCCCTCTATGGGCAAGATTGAGACTTTTTAGCTTTTTTGAAGTATTTTTGGGTTTTATCTCGCGATATTATCGATAATATCGTGATATATTGCTCAAATAATGCATTAAAATGCTGAAAATATCGTCTCCATGATAATTTCATTAGCTAGGTTGGTAAACCTTTCACCCAAAGATAAAGATAATTTAGGCCTACTACCAACAAAGCAAATAAAGTCGAAGGATTGGATCGAATATCTACCAAATGCAACTATGGATATGTCACAACGTCATAATTCATTATGTTCTATGTAATCATCCAAATCTTCCCATAGTGCGAAGAAGATGATCCAAATTTAAATGAAAGGGACGTTGCAAATCTGAGTTATTCAATCCACACAAAAGAGGATGATGCAAGAGGGAATAATCAAATGCGGAAATCTCTTCCAAAAAGAAATGACCAGTTGATTTTTCTAGGGCCATCTCCAAATGGGAGTGCTAAAAGTTCAAAAACTAAAAAATTGGCATGATTTATCCCAAAATTTATGTCTAATAAATGGGTAGGCTATAATTCTATCGAGCTCACTAGGCTATTATTTGGCCCAAGAGGCATCAGGCTGGCCAAGTATAGCCTTCTATTAGCCCTTTTTGGGGCATAGCTCTTCTACTGTTAATTCAAATTTGAACGGCTAGGTTTAAAAACATTCAACGATAGTTTAATTAGCTTAACCAATAAATTTAAAGTACAAATTTAAAACTAATAAATTATTGAAGTAACATAGTAACATAGTCCCTTTGGTTGGAGATGGTACATGTATACGACCTAACATTGTTTCAATTAAAAATCATTTCTTGCAGGATTATAAATCTGGATGGGGCTATGTTTAGTCCTTTTGGTTGGAGATAGCCTAATGGTAATGCTAGGTAGACCAAATTTTAAAGTTTTAAACCATATTACAAACTAGATGATGTATTACCAATAGGAAATAAACATGTTAATTGATACTTAAGTTAATCCAATCATTAACAACCCACACCATTTGGTTTACAAAATTTAGTTTACAAATTTAGTTTCCCTAGCAGTTCCAAAATTTTGTCTACAAGTTTAGTCTTCTTAACATTACCCTTACTAATATTATGGCTTAGAAAAAGCAAAGTTATATTTCATAAGATTCACAGAAGTTTAGATGACAAACATATAGGATTGACGACTATGTTACTAATTATTTAGTTTTGTTTTCGCTTTAAAATAATGCAAATTTAGAATAATCATTCCCCTATTTCCTTACCTCTAACCGCTAGAAATCTTGGTAAAGGACAGTGTTGTTGAAGTGTGGCTATATCGTATTTCCTCATGGACACCCTTTAAAGGTGTTTATTGATTCTTAGGCACCAAATCAGAACACAACAAGCTAGCGTTGCTTAACAGGCAGTTTCTAATGATCAGTTTTGGGCACCAAAACGTGAACGGTGAAATAAGTCGATTGGGTTCCAAAGACTATTTGAGTTATGTAACTCAGTTGGATCCCACTATGCCATATTGGCACCTGAACAAGGCTGAGGGTTACATATTTACCTTCATACTTTTACCGTTGGCCTATAATTAGTTATAATTAGATATCAAACTTGTTACATAAAATTATTATATATCTTCCCTTATGTAAGTCAAAACCGACCTATCCATCCACAATTAACAGATAAAGGTATTAACTACCACAAAGTTATGATCGACATATTAATATTTCTTTTATAAGATTGTGTATTAGATAATGGATA